AGGTAGAAATTCCTTCACAAGGTTGTCGGATGCCGAGGAGGATGTACATGTATCACTGTCACATTGCTCATGCATTGGTGCCACTGTATACATGTATCAATGGTACATGTATAATGCATATGTATATACAATGAACATGTATATATTATGCTATCTTCACTTACCAAGCAGCAATAGAATTCTAGAATGCCAATGATCTGCCAAAACAGCCGTGGTTGTGGTAAGTCTGTGACGATAAACACTTGAAGAACTTTAAATAAGAATTCACAGTAGAGACGCTTAGTGTTCAAATACTAGAAATGAAAAAAAATCGACCTACTTGTGATAGTCGATACATAAATATTTAGAATTTAGCAAATTACAGAAGGTCTATTGGCTTATGCGCGGCAGTTCCTATATATATACACCCAGTGAAACGCACTCAGATTTACTCTGAACCTATACGTGAAAACAATCAATGGACCATATACCTGGAAGAATAAAGGGATGCCACATCTGCCATTTTACTTAGTAATTTATTCTATAAATATACAATTCTGTTTCCATGCCAGTGTTGATCTTAGTCTTTCATAAATCTTTACTTTATGTAATTTATATACATTGTTAGGCCTGTCTGTTTTATGTTTATATATTTAGCCTCTTAGTAGTATCCTTATTTTAACTGCGTTCATCAGTATGTCTAATTCTGTCTTGTCTTCCCTTGCTAGCAAAGAACTTGATTGTTTGGTATTGTTTTGACATGTTTGGCCCCTGCTTGTTGTGGCATTCAATACAGCATCCATCATGTCAAGATGTTTGTGATGTTATAGGAAATTATAAAAGATTTATACTATTGTTGCCTCACAGAGGCTAATATTTGCTCTGATATGTCGATAATCAGTTGTTTAAAAAAGTGAAACGATACATTCACTTCTTTATACTTAGTGACACTTTCATGTCACTTCAAGACACGAAAGAGAGCAGACATGAAACAATGGCATACCATCGACACCCACAACGTCTTCTCTTGCCCAGCATTACACAGCCAAACTCAAATGGCTGACACTTACTTTCTTGACCAAAGTAACTACCGGCCATTGCGTTAATCCCCCGGCAATTTCTTGTGTTAATTATCAAGTCGTTAAACCTGCTAATCGGGGGGTGGAGACATTCGTTGTGTTGATCACCGCAGCCATTGTGGCCGACACTGCTGGTCCTCGGGCTCCACCACCCCACACACACACCCGTGTTATAAAGAGCTGGAAGCGGGGGAAGAGCGGCTTACTGTACATACATCAATGTGCTAGATGAGGAAGAGAGTGATACCGAGAGTTAGAATAGGAACTCATTATTACAGCTCAATTTCCACACTCTATTTCAGACAGTTCGTAAAGAGCGTTAGGAGAGGTTGTCTGGGGCAGTTCTAGAAATAGATGAATAACTTTCACCGGTACTCTCAAGCGTTCATCTTGCTCCTGGTCTTCTTCATAAAATATTTGAAGCATAAAGAGACACACAACCATTCATGACATTCAACAAACACGAAATGATACAGACAATCATACACACTACCGGTAAAGTTAATTTTATTAAATTCAATAATCTTATCTGGAAGGATCAGCTAAGCGTTGAGAAGTTGAGCTAGGTGCTCCAGCTGGGACTTGTGGAGGCTGATCCGGGTGTCCCAGCTGGGACTTGTGGCGGCTGATCCGGGTGCTCCAGCTGGGACTTGTGGCGGCTGATCCGGGTGCTCCAGCTGGGACTTGTAGAGGCTGATCCGGGTGTCCCAGCTGGGACTTGTGGCGGGTGATCCGGGTGCTCCAGCTGGGACTTGTAGAGGCTGATCCGGGTGTCCCAGCTGGGACTCGTGGCGGGTGATCCGGGTGCTCCAGCTGGGACTCGTGGCGGGTGATCCGGGTGCTCCAGCAGCGACTTGTAGAGGCTGATCCGGGTGTCCCAGCTGGGACTCGTGGCGGGTGATCCGGGTGCTCCAGCTGGGACTTGTGGAGGCTGATCCGGGTGCTCCAGCTGGGACTTGTGGAGGCTGATCCGGGTGCTCCAGCTGAGACTTGTGGAGGCTGATCCGGGTGCTCCAGCTGGGACTTGTGGAGGCTGATCCGGGTGCTCCAGCTGGGACTTGTGGCGGCTGATCCGGGTGCTCCAGCTGGGACTTGTGACGGCTGATCCGGGTGCTCCAGCTGGGACTTGTGGAGGCTGATCCGGGTGCTCCAGCTGGGACTTGTGGAGGCTGATCCGGGTGCTCCAGCTGGGACTTGTGGCGGCTGATCCGGGTGTCCCAGCTGGGACTTGTGGAGGCTGATCTGGGTGTCCCAGCTGGGACTTGTGGAGGCTGATCCGGGTGTCCCAGCTGGGACTTGTGGCGGCTGATCCGGGTGTCCCAGCTGGGTCTTGTGGCGGCTGATCCGGGTGCACCAGATGGGACTTGTGGCGGCTGATCCGGGTGCTCCAGCTGGGACTTGTGGCGGCTGATCCGGGTGTCCCAGCTGGGACTCAGCTGCATATGGCTCTAATTTGATTAATTTAATTTTTAATTTTACCCCGAGGGACGAGTTTATTGGGCAGCGCCACTCATCCTGTGAGTGGACACACCGCCATAGCAGCATGTACAACACTCCCCAATAGGAAGAAAACCAGCTGGGTTGTTCATCCTGTTACTTGTACCCAGACACAGTTGGGACTTGCTTAACTGTCTCAAGTGAACAGCTTCTCAAACAAGAAGATTAACATTTGTCAACCTTTAAAATCTTTCATTTAAAATCTTACGTTATTTTGCGGGTGCAAAATGGGTGAATTTTTTGAAAACAGCATTCATATTTGACAGATAGTAATTTCGTAACTCAAACAATGTGGGGTTTATTAATCTACACATATTTATTACGGCTTTTAGATGTTCACATTCTTTCAGATAGTGGTCAGGGCGGTGTCCGTCACTCTCATTACTGAATCTGCAGCTTCGCTGCTCAGCTGTTGTTTCTATCCCGTCTCCATGGATATTTGTATCCAAGACGAGTTCTTGCTATTACTGATTCTCCAACCACTTGGGCTGGACGGTAGTGCGACGGTCTCGCTTCATGCAGGTCGGCGTTCAATCCCCGACCGTTCAAATAGATGGCCACCATTTGTGGGAACCGACCTGTGAGATTTATATTTATTTAATTTATATGAATTTATATTTACGTTAATTTATATACTTCGATAGCAATTTGTATGATGTTAAGTGGACTGTATTTCTGCAATAATCTCAATCTCACAAATCGATCCTCTACACATTAGGGGGGTTTATATTAATTAAATTTATATATATGCAGCCAATCAAACTACAGTATTAGACTACATACATTGAAGAGGTTCCTTATCTTATTTGTACAGCAGGTATAACCAGGATGTAGACACCACATTTTCCCTCTTTGAGGTAGCATGTAGACACCACATTTTCCCTCTTTGAGGTAGCTTCCATCACCCTGGTAACTGATGCACAAAGCATATGCTTCCTCGTCTTGACCTGTCAAAAGGGCGCTAGCTGTAAAGCCAGATACCTATATATGACAAGCTATATCAGAGAAAACACTGTACATGCAACCTTAAAGACCTGGCTTAATTACCTTTAGTTTGAGGCTGCCTCGTGTTCTAACCGGGTCACCCTATATCCTGACATTAATGGCCATAAATGAATGATAAACGGGTTTCGGATAGACACTTAACTTGAATTTGTAGACAGCGTGTTGAAGATGGTACACCTTTGGTTTCCATAACACTACGTCCAAGTAAAATTAACAGGAGCCGTATTTGCTCCCGTGCGCCTCTGGTCTAGTATCAACAATGGCTGCCCCCTTTCCTCACTGACGCCTGGCCTACATTGTCCAGATGTCAATAAGTGATAGAAGGGTCACATTTACTCTACTTTAATATTGATAATTAAGTTAATTAATATGAGATGTTTTATGATGGTAAAGTCCAAAGACTAATGTATTTAAGAATAATTCCCAGCAGAATAGCTGGTGAATTTATAATGGTATGTGGTGATGATATCCCGTTTTCTTTAGACGGTAATTCCACTACAAGTTACATTTTCTATGGGTAACTTGTTGGTAATACAGCAGCAATTATTATCTGTCTGTATGATATTAAATGGTGTCGGATTTTCCGACACCATTTCTTCCCCCTGTCCAATCCCAAATCCTTATCCTGACCCCTTCCCATTGCTATATAGCCGTAATGGCTTGGCATTTTCCCCCTGATAATTCCCTCCCTCTCGCGGCCACCTTCTCTTCGTCCATAATGATTGGGATTGCCAGCTGCAATCGCATTGTACCAGCGTACAGATTCACTGGTTTTCTTCTATCTTCATTTCCTCAGTTATCTTATCACGGTGATGTTGCCTGATAATACCTATAATTTGCAGCAGTCATGGGTATGAAGTATTGAATATGGTCTCCTTCAGCACCCTCAGCAGCCAGCACACTTGCTCGTTCATTTCCACAGATTCCATCATACGAGGAGATCCACAGGAATTTCACGACTTTTCTATCTTGATGTTAGGGTAATGGTATCTTAAGGTCATAGCAGCGTATGGTTCTATCTTGATGTCAGGGTAATGTTGACTAGTATTCTCGCTATTACTATAATTATATATAATATTCATATATACTACAATCGTCAAAATGTTGTAAGCTTAATTTTGTCCTGGACTATATTCAGGGCCAGAATATACTAGCTGGGCGGTCAGTAAACTATTGTGATGGCTTTAATTACCCTCCGGTGGTTGAGTGGCCGTAAACCCAACACCAAACAAAGCCCCAATTAGGTAAGATTTGAGCTGTTGCTTTTATACTTCTCTCCTAAACTCGTCCTCCTTCAGGTAAATCCTACAAGGGGTGAGGGAGAAGTGAACGGAAACTCTTAATCTGGTGACCCAAAAGGCACGTGACGATGGTTCGTGAAACAGGAATACAGGGTTCGAAGGATTTGATTCCTGTATTCTTGTTGAACCGCAGAGCATTGTCCCCTCGTGTTTTAGTATTATTGCGGGCGTTATGAGTTGTTAATGTCCCAGGGAGATGAATATTCAACTCGTACAATGTTTCAGCTTCTTTGCAATTCCTGGCGTGGTTCAGCTTCCACCAAACAACTCAGTACATGTTTAATGATACAATCAGTTTTGCCGACATAAAATTACCAACATATAATTCTTTAAAATACATGCATACATCTGTACCTATAAGAGACATTGTTTGTGTGTTTGTCCGTTTGTTTGCACAAAATTTGAGGTCAGACGCTCGGGGTTAGCCTCAACCAAATTTTACAAAGGTAATAATCTGGGGTACGGGATGAACACAGGCTGGTCAGGGTGGTTAGAATTCAAGAGGAAACAACTTGCTAGCGTCACATTCAGACCCCCAAGCCATTTTTTCCTTGTCACCTGCTACAGCTAAAATATTTTCAAAACAAAAATTTAAAAGGCATTTTTTTCTGATAGTAGTATACGTCCTCATTAACTGATCTTGGGAGAATTAACATAAATTCTCTGATATTTATTATTTGCCCGTAGTTGCATAAAACATGTGATCTTCAAACAGCTTAAATGATTCGTCAAATCCTGTTACTCTCTCAAAGAAAAATAATGAATTGGTAAATGCATTGTCCACTGCATTGTCCATTGCATTATTTGTTCACTTAAGATACTGTAACCATTCAATTGTCACATTGTTACAGTTATCTTGTCAATTGAATTAGCCACAATTGGCAAATTCATGCAAAATTGTTGATTGTAAATCAGATACTTAAAGAAATATTGATTCCTCAATTATAAAAATTAGTATATTAGATAATATTAATGTAAGTCCAGGATTACATAAATTAGATAAATGTATGATTGGTACGATTTGAAATAGGTATATAAATAGTGTATGAATGAAATAATACCCAGAAAATATTGCTAATTGATATTCACTACGACATGTGGACGCCCAGAAACAAAAATAAAAAAATAACAAGTGTATACGAAAGCATATATATATATATATATATATATATATATATATATGTCGTACCTAGTAGCCAGAACGCACTTCTCAGCCTACTATGCAAGGCCCGATTTGCCTAATAAGCCAAGTTTTCATGAATTAATTATTTTTCGACTACCTAACCTACCTAACCAAACCTAACCTAACTTTTTCTGCTACCTAACCTAACCTAACCTATAAAGATAGGTTAGGTTAGGTTAGGTAGGGTTGGATAGGTTCGGTCATATATCTACGTTAATTTTAACTCCAATAAAAAAAAATTGATCTCATACATTATGAAATGGGTAGCTTTATCATTTCATAAGAAAAAAAATAGAGAAAATATATTAATTCAGGAAAACTTGGCTTATTAGGCAAATCGGGCCTTGCATAGTAGGCTGAGAAGTGCGTTCTGGCTACTAGGTACGACATATATATATATATATATATATATATATGCTTTCGTATACACTTGTTATTTTTTTATTTTTGTTTCTGGGCGTCCACATGTCGTAGTGAATATCAATTAGCAATATTTTATTAGCAGTAATATGTGGCCTTGTTCCTACCTTTGTTTATGACACAATAGCTTACAGGAAAGAGAAAACATGTTAGGATATATTTCCCATACACATGTGGTGCAGTCCCATCCGTTGATGGTGAGAGCTGCTCATATGTGACCGTTGATGGTGAGAGAGCTGCCTTGTGTCCGTTGATGGTGAGAGAGCTGCTCATATGTGTCCGTTGATGGTGAGAGCTGCTCATATGTGTCCGTTGATGGTGAGAGAGCTGCTCATATGTGGCCGTTGATGGTGAGAGCTGCTCATATGTGTCCGTTGATGGTGAGAGCTGCTCATATGTGTCCGTTGATGGTGAGAGAGCTGCTCATATGTGACCGTTGATGGTGAGAGCTGCTCATATGTGACCGTTGATGGTGAGAGAGCTGCCTTGTGTCCGTTGATGGTGAGAGCTGCTCATATGTGACCGTTGATGGTGAGAGCTGCTCATATGTGTCCGTTGATGGTGAGAGAGCTGCTCATATGTGACCGTTGATGGTGAGAGAGCTGCTCATATGTGACCGTTGATGGTGAGAGCTGCTCATATGTGTCCGTTGATGGTGAGAGCTGCTCATATGTGTCCGTTGATGGTGAGAGAGCTGCTCATATGTGTCCGTTGATGGTGAGAGCTGCTCATATGTGTCCGTTGATGGTGAGAGAGCTGCTCATATGTGACCGTTGATGGTGAGAGCTGCTCATATGTGTCCGTTGATGGTGAGAGCTGCTCATATGTGTCCGTTGATGGTGAGAGCTGCTCATATGTGTCCGTTGATGGTGAGAGCTGCTCATATGTGTCCGTTGATGGTGAGAGCTGCTCATATGTGTCCGTTGATGGTGAGAGCTGCTCATATGTGTCCGTTGATGGTGAGAGAGCTGCTCATATGTGACCGTTGATGGTGAGAGCTGCTCATATGTGACCGTTGATGGTGAGAGCTGCTCAT